ATAAAACGCATTTTTCATTGTTAAAAAGTACATGAAATACGTCATTTTTACCAAAATGACGTCATGATTGACAAGTTCATCGAGATCAGTGATTTGTTTAAAACCAGCTGTATGGGATTTAACTAGCAACTTTGTAATGCATTGGTAAATTTTATTGTTGTTTATTATGCTAATACAGTATAAAATTCGGAAATTATTTCATTTTCGGGTAATATGATGAATGCATAAAAGTAAGATTTTTGTGTGACGTCACAGTAAACTTTCCCTGTATAAATTAGGCCCCGCCCCCTTTTTCTAGCCTTAACAGTGCTGCGCTGTCCTGTGGAGCTTTCTGCACAAAGTTTATCCAAATTCTCTAAAACACCTGTCTTTGTCAAAAAATGATGATTTTGTCTGATATGCAACCACCGACAATGATGTCCAAGATTCCACAAGAGTAGAAAAAGGCAGTAGGACCAAACATCCCATATGAAATGTTGAGCACCTTACTGACCTCCCCTGTCTTGGACAATCACAGATCAGTGCCAAGCAACCAGACAGCAGATGTTCATTTCCAAAAGCTGAAGGAAAAAAAGAAAGTTTTAGAGAGTATTACGTTGATTAAGCAACAGATGATTATGAGCAGATGAAAACAGTATATAAAAAAGAAAACAAACAAAAAATGATACAAACTATGAATCAGTTGATTGTATACCTTTAACTTGGCTGCTTTTGACTGCAATATTGATGACAACTGTATATTGTTTTCTGAATGCTCACTTTCTCTGCTTCTGGTACAAATTTGTTCACTTCTGACTGGCAACTGGCCTGAATTTTTTAAGTCACCCATCCAGGCTACAACTGCATGCATCCCCACAATCCGCTTAATATGAGCCACTAAAAAAATGAATTTAAAAGCATTTTAACTTCAGTTCACATTCATAATTAATAAAATATTGTGTCAAATTAATAAGTAATTGCGACAACTCTAATTACAAACACCAAGTAGCTTAACTTTTGAGAAATTAGGCATTTCTTTCCTACTAACAATAGTGTAATCTGAACGATCAAATGTTAAAAACATACCTTGGTTTTTGAACTCCATTTGACATTTAAGATAACAGGATAGGTGGGGAATGGGTTCTATGTTACCTACAACATTATATAAAGAGTCAAAATTGATATTGCATAAATTCTTGACACACATCAATTGCACACATTATGTCATACCCTTTGACAACCTGAGCAGGTGCCCCCTCCCCCTTTTTAATTATTTAAATCCATTTAACTTCTCTAAAATATAATTTTATCCATTAATTTTTTCAACAATTAGCATAATTAGTTCCAAATTATCCGAAAAGTGCCAATAAACTGATTAATACGAGTTTTGACCTTTGACCTGATAGGACACAGACTACCAATTATTTTGCTATACATTCCTTTATAACATAAAAAATATTTTTAAAAATTACACCGGCTCAACTTACCTGAAACTTGGCACAGAGTAAGACCATTTCAAGTCCAAAAATTTACCAAGTTCTCAGGAACATTCATAGTCTGCAAGTCCTTTTATGGCATCGCAAATAACCCCTACCCTGCTTTTTTCACTTTCTCTTCGAGGAAAGGGTAAATATGGGCCTCTTTACACCCTTCCTACTACGCACTAAAAAGCAAAATTTCCCATTATTATCATTTTTATAATTTTTTTCAGACCCTCTCCTTTCCATTTATGCCCAAAAATAACCGCTTTCTACTCCATAAACACCCCAAAGAATTTTTAAGAAAAAACCTCTATTTTTAAACTGGAACTACTTGAGTGGTCAATGAAATAGGGGTAAAATTAGTAGTCTGTAACCTTGAGTGTACAATTAGGCCTACTTAGCAGGGACCTTCATTCCCTGTACCTATATACAAAACTTTATACAAACGCACGTGGATAAGGATAGTCTAAAAGGTATATTCTTTGTTATTTGTCATGTATTAATCGTAACCATTATCCACATCTTTTTAGTTGCTTTATTTGGACATATATATTGAACCCGCCTTTTTCAAGATGGCGTCAAAAAAAAAACGCAGACTTTTGTTTTCAATTTATTTCCACGAAAAGAATGTTTGTGCCTATTTTATTGTTATTTTATAAAGCACGTAAAAAGTAAAAAAATTCATTGGTAATAGCATGGAAAAATTAACTATTAGGATTTTTATTTGTATTGCTTTGTGCAATCTTACGTAGGCCACCTTTTTTTCTTTGTCCAGACAAGGTGTAGACACTAAGCAGACGGTTATAAAAAAACCCTGCATGGGGAGAATATTTATAATCAGTTTCACTGTTTCCCAATCTTTGCATCAAGTTCCTTGGATCTTTGCATTAAGTTACTTAATGCAAAGATCTATGCTTTAAATAAGTTAACTACAATGCCAAACCAGTTATTTTGCCAATGCCAAAACAAGTTATTTTGGGTTTTTAGACTGATTCATTGTTTTCCATTTTAATTGGTAGAAACCTATTTTCTATTACAGTGGGAAAAAACCATAATTTGTACTTTTATTTCACATATATTCTGTTAAACACATAATTATTTACAAAGGGAAACAGAGAAAGGTGTAGTAATTTTGCATTTGTTCGATGGGCGCTAACAGGATGTTCACTGATGGCCAGATAACAAAAGATTGAAATGAACTTGAAATGCAAAGCACATAATGAAACACAGAAACAAGAATTAAGTAATGCAAGGTCACAGAGTAGAAGAGCTTCATATCTTCAGCACTGCGCGCATTAATTTTTCGTTTGACTGCTTCTCAAAAATTTGTTGATTAAATTTCCCATCAGTGACATACAGTGTTTTAAAATAGAACCCTTAGCTTCTTGTATTGTATCACTTTGTCTAACATACTCCTTTTAAGCTCACCTGAGCAGAAGTCTCAATGGAGTTTTTATGATAGAAATTTCTTCGTTGTCTGTGGTCGTTGTTTACAATTCACAATTTCATTTTCTTCTTTAGAACCACTGGGCTGAGTTTAAAAAAAACTTCCCCAAAAGTTATCTTGGGCAAAAGGAATTCCAGTTTGTTCAAATGAAGGGTCACGCGGCCACGCTTTCTTACAGGGGCGATAATTAAGCTTTTATGAAAAAAAATATTGACACTAGTATCAATTAAAAATTTTCTACTCAGGAACCACTATGCTTGAAATCATAAACCTGATGTGGAATCACTGTCAGGTATTGTGCATTAAGACTAAACTAGAAAAATAACACTTTAGGGATCAATTTTATAACATTTATCCATAAAACAAAGTATAATTAAAAGGGACTTTTTAACGCGCAAGAAAAATAACGTAATGTTTCTGCGTACTACGTCATCAGTTTCAGAGAGTGGTGATATGGATTCAGAAAACCACAGTGTGGTGATCCGGAAAATCGGATCAAACTCTGGAAAATTAACAGTAACAAAAACAAGGAAATTGATGGGTATATAATAAAAGTTTTTCACAGGAATACACTGGGAAAATCTTCTTGTAAAGAACATAAAAGCCAGGATTAGTCATATTTATATAAAAGCTATCTCAGGTAGCATCAGGTAGTTGAAAGCATAACCGGACATAAACAATACCAGTAAACAAACCATACAATGAAATATGAAATTGCCGATAAACAGTACCAGAACCAGTACCAGAACTCTACTCTCCATTTTTGCAAATTAATATTTTCTTTGAAATATTTTTTTTTCAAATAAGCCTTTCACAGATTCTTAAAAATTGTCTCATGTAGATAAAAACGCGACTTTTCAGTATGCTAAACATTCTATATTCTGACGTCATTTTCGGAGTTAATACATAAAAAAAATTACAAAGTGACGTCAAAATATGTAACCGTGAAACGGTTAATTTTTTATTAAACAGTTTTCAGGACTTCTGAAATGCCCCTCGTATCTTCTTTTCAAGAACATCAATGTTGTGATTGTTCATATTTACACTTTTAAAATACTGATTAACTTTTCTAGCTCAGGTTCTAGAAGGTTCAACGAAAACTTGTTAAATAGTATTCCTGTCCTAGCATTTTCTCTCCAGAAAAAAATATTAGAAGCTTAGGAAAAAAGGACTTTCTTTCATATGATGTAGAAACCTTGGGTAATGGTCATGATTATAAGTAAAAGGTCATTCGGAGAAAAAAAAAATGTATTAGTATAGCCCGTATATGTACAATATTAGAAACCCAAGATTTAACAATGAAATATATAGTAAAATGGAATGGATAAGTAAGCTTTGTGAGCATGCTAATTGAACCATTGTCCCATATAAAGGGCACCTAAAGAGAAAGATTTTTTTGATTTGCAGAAAAAATAGTTATTTATCAGAAACATGAACTTGCATAAAACTAGTAGTCATTATTGTTAACTTTAATCACGATTTCCTTATTAACATTGAATTCTTTTTTGTCTTTTTTGATATTATTGGGGAGGTGATGTCTTCTATGTACTCTCCTCGACTTAAATGTGGGGTATGTGCTGATTTAAGTATTCTCCACTCGCACTGCAAACAATGTGGGAATCTATGTGAAAATTGTTCAGGACTTCACAGCAAAGGGAATGCCTTCAAAAATCATAATGTGGTGCCCTTAACTTTTTCAGATGGAATGGAGACGTCTTCAATCAAAGTATGTTAATTCATAAACAGATATTTGAGATTGAAAATTACTATCATTATTTCTAGGCTAAAATCATTTTCAAAACGTTAATTAATTTGTATTGTCAGTTAAGATATATATACTAAATTGCTTTATTTTTTTATCGTGAAAATGTAAAATAAAAGGAAATATTTTCAAAAAAATCACGTAAAACCTCAAGATACCTTTGAGGACATTATTCAATAAGGTGTGTTTGTTTTCAATATTTTTCCAAAAATGAGTGTCGTTTTTTTCCTCATATAAGTTTTTCCTTTACTGTAAACGGTAATACTCAAAAATATGATCGACGGACAGATATATATTACATGTACATGTTTGTATTATTTTATTGCTTCTTTTTTGTAATAAGGTGGAACCGTCCACACAACTAGATCACCTTGATAGTACCCCCACCGCCACATGTATAACTACGGCTGATCTTTTATCGACTGCAACAAACGCCCCAAGACCTGCTTATGCTCCATCTACTTCATCAAATGATACTCCAACACCTCATAATGTGCCATCTACTTCAAATGCACCCAATACACCAAAGAAAAAAGGTGTCAAACGGAAAGCTACTTCCGTTAATGCCCCAACATCTCATAATGTGCCATCTATTCCAACAAATGCCCCAACATCTCATAATGTACCATCTACATCAAATGCACCCAATACACCAAAGAAGAAAGGTGTCAAACGGAAAGCTACTTCCGTTATCATGAAGGAAATGAAGAAAGCTGCTTGTCCTCAATCTAAACATCAATCTAACACGGTTGATTTATGCTGCCAGGATTGCGATCAAGCAATATGTTCGCAGTGTCTGACAACTGCCCATACTGATCACAGAATTGGAGATATTACCGATTTTTTCGGGAAGAAAAGAGCTATGATAGAAAGTGATTTAGATCTCATCCAGAGTCATATCCAGCAAAGGGAGGAAGCAAAAAAACAACTGGCCGAAGATCTAAAAAAGATGGAACAAGCTTCAGAAAACGTGGTGAAGGAAGTTAAAGATTTCGCTGACAAGGTGCGATCAACCATTCTAAAGAAAGCAGATGACCTGAAAGCAAGTACTAAAGAAACAAAAAAGAGGATCAATTCAAGAAATGGCGAGTTTGTCAAAGAAAATCAAAAAACTAGAAACCTTGCGTAAAAAATATCAGGATGAGCTAGATTCTAAAGATTTAGCAGAGATCCTGTTCAGAAAAGAAACAGCGTTCTCGCTCGATACCTACGAAAATCTCCCAAGTTTGTTCAAAATTACACCTGCAGCGTTTTTTCCAGCGGAATTAGACCAAGACATTATGAAAAGTTTTGGAACCATTGTTTCTGAAACAATGCAAGTGGAACCTATTGCGTTTAGGCCACCATCTACTCCAATAAAAATGTCAGGGAAAAAGAAGAAACAGACAGCTCAAAGCAGTACGCCATTGCCTGTCCCGACAGCCACTTCTGCCTCTGCTCAAAATCATGAAATATTGAGTTTTATTGGAAAAGAGCTTGGAATGAACATTGTTCAACAATGAAGAAGACAAATGGGAATTTTTTTTTCCAAATTGAAGGAGTTTGGTAAAAAAGAAAAATCCTTTACCCCAGTTCTCTCTAATCAAATGCTTGGTAAGCAGATTGTTCAAAAATGATGAAAAGAAATGGTACTGAATAATTGGAGCAGCTTGGTGGGATCAGAAAAATCCTATTCTCCCTCACTGTATTGATAATCAAATAGTGCACACTTGGCCGCAGTAGACAAAATTATCTTGAAAATGATGAAGGTGTAATATGACAAATGTATCACAATAAGTAGGCAGAATAGAGAGGGGGATGAAAGTTTTGAAAGAAAAAGAAAGAGAGAGGTGATGTAAATTTTGAAAGAAAAAGAGAGAAAAATTGAGATTTTGGAAAGTTTTAGAATAATTTATATTTGTTTTACATTCTTACTGCCAGAAAATATGTTTTCTTTCTTTTTTTTTTTTTTTTTTTTTTTTTTTTTGGGGGGGGGGGGGAGGGGTTATTTCTAGTTGCTCCATTTAACTTCATGTATATTAATTTGTTTTTGACTCTGTTGACCTATATACTGAACTTTATAATAAGATTAGGAAGAATATTATCAATATTTATGTGACTTTATATTCACCCGCTGATTAAGCAAGTTTGTATTTCTATATACATGTATACTTTTTAACGTTTTCATATTATACTTACATATACCGGTAAAAGATATTTTCATGTACAATGTAATAAATATATAGTTTCAAATAAAGTTTCATTATACTTGATTATTTGTAAAGGGTTATCAACACTATTTGCAGAGAAAAAAAAATTGAATTTACTCCAGGGCATAAAATTATTGAACTTGCAATCGCAGTTTCATTTATTAATATTTTCTGCTTTAGTGATAATGATTTACTTTCCAAGTTCTGTTCAATCTGTTATTTAAAATGAAAACAAAATATTTGGGAATTACATATATAAGATATCATAAATCTACTTTAGACTACTTATTTAAAGAATTGTTTTTAAATAGTGTACCTGAAGGAAAGTATGTAGACTGATTGATAGAAAAGATCTATAACTGCAGCCTTGAAAATAAAAAAAAATGAAAATGCAAGATTAACTTCAAAAACTTTATGATTGTCTATGTAAAATCAGTGAAATTGATAAGTAATATGAATTAAAATTTTATTAAAGCAGCTTTACTTTTCATGGTTTATCATTTTATTTTCAATAACAACACCATAATTACATGTACCTTTTGATAAACAAAAAGATAATTAATTCGATCTTTTCTTGGATTATGTAAAGAAAGAACTTTTTCCTATGAAATTCTGAAAGATGATACGTTTCTTACTATAAAATAGCCGAATGGTATTAAGGTGATGTGTCTTATTCTGAAATGGCCTAACAGTAGAAAGATGATACGTTTATTACTATGAAATGGCCTAAAAGTATCAAGGTAATATTTTCTTATTATGAAATGGCCTAAATTACAGTAGAGATGACACGTTTCTTTCTCTGAAATGACCTAACGTACGGTATGAGTATTTGTTGGTATGTCAGTAATAGTACAGGAAATAAGCAAATAAATCGCCAAAATTTGCACCTGTTGAAGAAACCCGCTATAATGTGCATATCCTTTTCAGAATATTGCGTGTACCAGTTTAAAATCCTAGTACCTTCAGATGTTCTTAAACAAAAAACCTTCAAATATATACTACGATAGACTAGTTATAGTGGCATGTTTCTGCCCCTACATGCTAGATAAATTATGTTAACATGAAACATAATTATGCAGACATGCAACATATTTATGTCAACCTGCAAGTTAATTATGTTGACATGCAAGTTACCAATCTTATAAGAAAATAAAAATTAAATATGGGCATCTTTTTTATTAACACATATATCTGACATTTTAAATGCACGATGCAACATAATTATGTAGAAATGCGACTTATTTATGTCATCATGCAAGACAATTATGTCAACATGCAAGATAATTATGTCAACATGCAAGTAAATAATGTTAACATGCAAGATACTTATGTTAACATGCAAGATAATTATGTAGACATGCAAGATATTTATGTTCATATGCAAGATAATTATGTTGGCATGCTACTTATTTATGTCAACATGCGACTTAGTTAGTCAACATGCGATATATTTACATACATATGGTGGCATTTTTCTGCCCCCTACATAATATCTCGCATGTTAACATAAATATCTCGCAAGTTAACATAAGTATCTCGCTTGTTGACATAAATACGTTGCATGTACATGTATGCATATTTAAGTCGCATGTTGACATAAATATCTTGCATGTGTTCATAATTAACTAGCATGTTGACATAAATATCTTGCATGACAACATAATTATCTCACATGTCAACATAAGTAAATCGCATCTTCTCATAATTATGTTGCATCTTGCATCTACGATGTCAGATACGGGCGTGAGCACAGGATTTTACCCATATTTAAATCAGATTCCCTTAAAAGATATATTTTTCTTGTATGTTGACATAATTTTCTTGCATGTTGACATAATTTTCTTGCATGTGAACGTAGTTTATCTTGCATGTAGGGGGCAGAAATATGCCACCATACATACAAGATAATAAGTTGCAAATATCATACATATCTTGCATGTTGACATAAATATCCTGCATGTTAACATAATTATCTTTTATGTTGACATAACTAAGTTGCATGTTGACATAAATAACTCGCATGTTGACATAATTCTCTTGCATGTTGACATAATTATCTCTTATGTTGACATAAATAAGTTGCATGTTGACATAAATAAGTCGCATGTCTGCAAAATTCTGTTGCATCTTGTATTTTAAATGTCAGATGCAGACGTTAGTGAGTAAATTTCCCCATATTTACTTTGTCAAATTGTTTGTTGACATAGATATGTTGCATGTCTACATAATTATGTTGCATGTTAACATAATTTATCTTGTGTAGGGGCAGAAATATGCCACCATAACTAGTTGTTAAATTCCTCCTGTTTTACATTATCAAAAATTATAACAAAAATTTCCAAATATGTCATTTTTTTCTCAGATTTCAAAATAGTGTTCAAAACAATGTTGCATATATGTAGTATATGTCTTTAAGGTCAAGAACAATAACTCTTCATGCACATTTCAACATGCAGTGTACATGTAGATATGAAATAAAATCATAATTTCCCGAATAAAGTTCCATACTTTTTCATAACAACATTTTCTACATGCTATGTATTAATAGGTTTATAAAACTAATTTTCTGATAAAAAAAAATTGCATAAAACTGAAAAAAAAATATATACGTCGTACAAAAACCTTCAAGCTATATAAGTTGAACATATAAAGGGGAAGCTCACTTTCATAACTTCACGTTATTTTAGTGGTAGAGTGTTCGGTTTGTTTTGAGAGACCCAAGTAACCCAAGTTACAATTTTGCAAACCATGATTTCAATTTTAAAATATTAATCTGAAATCAATAAGAAGGGTGAATAAGGTTTATGGGATACCTAATGCTTCTGATACTTGTACATAAAATCATATTTTGTTTGTGAACTAAACATGAAACATTGAAAAGGGCATGGACACAGTTTCAACTAAAATTTCAAAATTTATTTTTCCATTTTTACAAATATTTAACTAGGGTCTTTCTATTGATCATCAAAAATTTGAACGCCAGTTGTCCACATACAATACAGATTTAGAGTTCCAAACCTTTGTTATGTAAACAAAGATAGTGTCGTGTTTTTGTTACACAGGTTAATAAACTAATATATGTTCGCTGAAAGTTGATAATTTCAAATAAAATTGAATTTTAAATACAATTTGACAGTTATTATTGATTTGCTGAACTTCATTTAAGCATTGAATTCATATTTTGGGATGTCTTCGGTCCTACAACTCACCTGGCCGTGCCGCCAAATTGAATACCGCGCGTTAGCGCTGTATGATAATTTGTCGGCACGGCCAGGTGTGTTATACATGTAGGACCAAAGACATCCCAAAATATGAATTCAATGCTTATATTTACATTCTCTAATTTTTCCTCTTCATAATTGCTTATTTCGTTAATCTTAATGTGAATTTAGCGCCCTTCAAAAATGACTTGGTTAATAGACGTAAGAGCCGTTTGTGACGTCTGATGACGTTGCAAAGTTAAATAACGCAAACAAACATTGCAAGGGGAGAAAATGACAAATTAATTTTAAACGCAATTTGAAGTTTTTTACGTCAATTTAACAGGATTATAGTATCTAATTAAAATGTGTCAAAACATGTGCAATTTGGTGTTCCTAGATTATAGAAAATGAATATAGTTCCTACTGTGTATTCTATCGCGCGGTGACAAGGTTTCGCGTGTGTTATAGAAATTTGAATGTCGTGGATTTCTAATGAATTTCATAAGGAAATAGACACGGAATGTAAATATTTTGCTATAAATATGATATTTTCTATATGTACAAGTAAACAAAAAACAGGGCAAGAGCCTTGTTTACATTATGAAGAACTTTAAGTTCTGTATCTTAAGCTTGTTTGTTAATCAACATATGATGTTCAAAGATTTGCTAATCAATAGATGATGCCTTAGGTAGGAATTGTAAACATTAAAATTGGTTTTAAAAAATCAGTTGAAACTGTGTCCAGGCCCCTTTAAGGTAAAGTTATCATTATTGAAATGTACGAGGGGCGTTCAATAAATAATGTCACTGGGGCTCGGAAAGAAACAAAAATCGCTTTTCTATGACTTAGTTTTAATGATTTCACTAAAATATTCTCTTTCAATTAAATCGCATATCCGTAACATTTTCATTCAATCTCGAATTGTTTTTCGAACACATTCTTGAGTATGACCCTTCGTATAGTGGAAGTATAGTGGAATATGGCAGATCCTATGATATGGTGTACTTGTTTTTTTCTTTCTGATAGATGTTTTTCTAAGTTTAGGAAATGAAACTAGTCAAAGGTTGTAAGATCTGGCAAATTTTGTTGGTGTGACAAAACATTTACTTTCTGTTTTTCTGCAAAACTCTTCATGGCCTGTGGGTTTGGCCGCCGACGTGAAGACATTTAATGTAGTGTATTCCTCATTCAGTTTCCTTCCTCTCAAAAATCTTTCAATTTTTGCAAATAAAATTGTTTTCTAGACTTCTTCAGATATTTGAACTTCCTCCCTGAATATGAATTTGAAGAACAAGACCGCTAAAATTGAAGAAAATACCATATAAAACTGTTTTATGCTCCTGCAATTCTTTGCTCTTCTTAGGCCTTTGCAGTTTTGTCAAGTGCATCTTATTTCAAATTTGTTTTTAAGGGATTAAAAGAAAATGGATTCAAGTTTCATTATCTGTTAGAATTTCACACAAACGTGGATAAGTACAATTTTTGATTTTTTTAAAGAATTGTTTGGATATTCCTTGTTGAGTCAGATAGAAAGAAAAACACCTCTAA